GTGACAAAGCCATTATGGTAAGTTGGATGTTATAAGTGAGGTTAAGAAGGAAAAATTGGGGTTTTTGTGTTCTCATTCATATCAATCGTGAAAAACAGAGAGAAGTGGAAATCAAGGGAAAGGCAAGAGAAGCTAGGGAAAGAGATCATTGTTGGAGGTTAGAGAGACCTTCAATCCAAAGGTAAGGGTGGGGTTCCAACTTTCTAAGGGATAGTGTAATTATAGGTACGTGGGGATTTGATTGTATGGTTTTGTATGTGTTTGTTCGTGAATTGGTGGTTTGTGTATGTTGAATCTAAGTGATGAAATTCTTCATATAATTATAATGATATTGACTAAATTTATGTGTTAATTTGAATAGAAATGATATGTATTAGGGGAATTGAAATTTGTAGAATTTGATATGTTTTATAATGTCACATAAACTCAATTTTGAGTGAAAAGGGGTGATTTTCGTAGCAGGAAAAATTCTGATTTTTGACTCTGCTATAGTGGATAACCGGGTACCCAGTTATGGTAACATGTTACCAACTGAAATAGTAGCCAGAATTTTCAAAATTGTACATGGTAACCGGTTACCCTAACTGGGTACCCACTCAAACTGGCAGATTTTTGGAAAACTTTAAAAAATCATAACTTTTTGACTCGGGTGTTCATTTGACGCACCGTTAGAACCATTGGAAAGATGAGAACGTTATCTAACCTATAAAAATGAATTAAAAGATATTAGATAATTATATTACGGGGTTATGTCCTTTTGTGTTAATTTCTCATTTTATATGTTAGCGCGATTTACGGATTTGTTATTAGTAATGATGTTTAATGAAGTACATGATAACTATATGTATACATGCTTAACGGATTGTGATGCCACGATGCTATGTTGTAATGTGGTGTTATTGTTATTGAAGATAGCATGATGACTTGATAATATGCTATTGTGAATTGTACTGCCATGATGTGGTGTTGTTGGATGTACGTAAATATGTTGTTATTTGTTGATATACTGTTGTATTGCTATTGTTGTTTGTTGAGCATGTGTTGTTGCACGGTGGTCGGTAATGGTATGTCACGTTGATGAATGTAGATATTAATGTGTGTTGTGTTGCATGGTTGAGTCACATGCATTTATGTTGTATTGTTGTTGTTGTTGTTATTGGCTCTAATCCTAGATGGAGTGGATAAGAGCGAGGTGGATATAATTTATTCACGTTGTTGTTGGCTATAATCCTAGTTGGAATGGATAAGAGCGAGGTGGATATAATTTATTCACGTTGTTGTTGACTCTGATCCTAGATGGAGTAGATCAGTAGCGAGGTGAACCAATCTGTTCACAAAAATGTGACTCTGATCCTATATGGAGTGGATTCAGTAGTGATCTCGATACCACATGCATGGAGTCAATGTTGTATCATATTGTATGTTTTGTTTTTGCCATAGTGTTGTGATGTGTGGTTGTTTACGGTTATTAATTCTGACTTGGTAATTCGGCAATCCGAACAGGCATGTCTCTCATCCCGCCTGACCTCGATCATCGACTTCAGAGGTACATTCCTCATCATCTACAACTTCATATCTCGGCTCCGACCCCTTCACATGCACCTATTACCTAGTGACGCTCTTGGTTTGTTTAGCACATATCCCTCGTCCGGTTTGTAAAAACCGTCTTAAAATTTTGGGGTGTACACCGTTGAATAATTTACAGGTGATGTATTTTTTACTAAAATTTTGATAAATTCTATAATAAATTCCACTGATCAACTCATTAAAAATGCAACAATTTAACTTTTGATTGAAATAATATTTTGATCATATCATCTCATTTGTGAGGTGTTATGATCAACTTGAGAATACCAGATACATTCGTCCAGAAGACTTAAAGAGTTCTATTATGGCCCAAAAGCAAAGGCCTATTTACTCAATCTATTTTTCTAAAATTAGAGGAAATTTCTTAATGTGCCATATAAGTTATTATGACACTTCGTGAAGATACAATAATATTCTCAAATTCTAGAGATACAACTTCGGACGTACCTCAAACACACATAGTTGACTCATTTTTTTAATAACGCTCTAATTTTATGATTAAATTTATTTCAAAAATATATCTACAACAATGTACTTGTTTGTATGTTTTGCTCCTCCTTTTCATGCATGCATTGGCAACATGCATCATTGCTCCACAACTATAAAATGAAGATGAATATTAAAGTAATTTTAAACTTGTAAGAGGAAGCAAACCTAAATATATGCATAGACAAGCAGGACCATTAAATTTTATAATAAAACCAAACAATATAAGTTCCCTAAACTAAGTTAAGTAATTAGCTCTAATATTTATAAACCTAATATGCAGCGCAAAAGATGAAATTAACCTTAAACATATAATAGAATAAGTCAAGAGGGTAGTTTGACAGAGAGTTTGGTTTATTTCAGTTGACTTTTAAAATTAAATTTGAATCAAACCAAACCAAACTAAATTAGTACGGTTTGGATTAATTCAATTGATTCGGTTTTTTACAAAAATATTATTAAATCATGTATATACATATTGAGAAAAATATAATTGTGTTTAATTATTCATACATTACCATACAAAATTTATAATTGTCATCATAAATTTATAATTTGATACATAAAATTGTGTATTATAATTTTATCTAAATCTAAAAAATGATATAGACAAGATTACATTCTTAAATAAATATTATACAAAGAATACGATAAAATATATTTTATGAAAATAATATTTGCAAATGAATAATATTTATTTTTATGATTTGTAAATTATAATAAGTATCACACAAAGTATGATAAAATATACATATAATACATATTGATTTGAAAAATATATTTGTTAGTAAGATTTTATAATATAATACAATTTTGTTTGGTTTGATTCGGTTTGCAAAATACAAATCACAAATCGAACCGAACCGCACGGTTCCTTTAGAAAATAACCTAAATACATCCAAATCAAATATATTTTTTTACGATTTCGATTTGGTTCGGTTCGATTTTATGATTTTTTATTAGATCGGTTTGATTTTGAACATCTCTACCCTATATAATGCATTAAAAAATTCCAAATGAGAAGCTTGATTTCTTCCTCAAGGTGTCTGAGGCAATATATTTTAACAAATTTAAACATATAAAAGAATCGATGAAGAATTGACAATAAGAATTTAAGAAATGAAAAGTTGTACTTCATACCCCTATATATTTCCCTTCACCTTTACATATTTTATTGTTTTTGTAATTTTAACTTTTTATCTTCACTTTTAATTTATTTGGATTAAGTTCATTGAAAAGAAAATTATATGTAAATGTTTTTTTGATATATAAATTTCGTTTTCAGTGTTATTTTTATCCAAAAACTTCGTATTAATTTTTACAAAACTTTTATCAATAAATTTAATATGAAACTTTCCGGCATGTATAAATTAAATCTTAAAAAAAATATAAATATGGAGATTTTTGACGCCACATTATTGAAGATACATATAAAAACTTCATAATAAACATTTCTTGTAAGAATTCTAAAAAATTTAATATTAAATTTTATGATAAACTATATTATACTCTGAAAAACTTTAAACGAAGTTTTCCAAAAATCTTTTGTTATTTTAAAATTATACATTCAAAAAATTTGTGTGGGTGAAAAAAAATAATTTGAAAGTAAAGATAATAATAAATAAATATGTAAAAATTAAAATCACATAAAAAATCTATCACATTTTATGAATTATCTAGGGGTGAATTTACATTCTATGAATGTATGTAAACTTTTCTGAAAAATGTGCATTGTGGACCATTCTTATGTTCGATACAATGTAAGGGCGGTTATAAAGTTTTTAAAAATGTAATCTTAACTTTGTATTTGTAAAAATGATTTTTTGCAAAATTCCTTAAAAAATAATTTAAATTCGAGTTTAAAAATAGTACTTAGTCATTGTAAAATATTTTTACACATACAATCAATTAAAATTTATATATTTTATATATTTGTATATCATTTCAATATTTTAAAAATAAAAATATTATTTATTATGATACACGTCTCTCTAAATATAAATTTTTTTTCGAACACAATTATTAGATAATAAAAAAGAAATTTTGATATATATTAATTTAAACATTAAATGTTAGGATTTACTCATAATAAAAAGTATATTTTTAAAAAATAACATATTTTATTTAAAAAATTATGAAAAAAATATTTTAAGCTCTTTTTTTAAAAGTATATAATATAATAAAATTCTTAGTAAAAAGATAAAGTGTTTCAACTAAATTTTTATAAGAAACTATTTAAACTAATTTCTAAATTTTCTTTTAAATCGTTTTATTTTTTAAATATGCAACACTAATTGTTTTTTTTTTAAAATGGTAATAAATGGACCCGTAATTACTACGATTTACAAGTTAAGAAAATCAAAATAGGTAACTATATGGTTCTGTGATACTACTTAGGAAGAAATTTTCATAAGTGAACAAATGCTCTCGTGGTCAATCTAGATAATAAAGTAAATTCATGAAAAAGTTTAAATACAGAGTCGAGTTCCAACTACTGTTAAAAAATTTAACCATCTTTAGCAACAATGTAGTTATAAACGGAAATGGAATTGGTCTAGTTTATGCCAGACCAAATTGAAATAATCTGTGAATGGGATTTTCTTACCAAAAAAATTTACTGCTGAATTTCAAGATTCAGATTTCTTAATGGTCTTGTACCTAATTTTAGTTTTGAGAGAAAACACAATAAAAATAAAATTGATCCAGACAGACAACTAAAATTCATTGATCAGATTATGTCACATAACCCCTTGACAAAAATACCAATCTCAATAACTTCCATACTAATGATAAATAGACACTACAGGAAGATGTTATGATTTTCATTCAAGCCATGTTTACTGAATTTCCTCACGCTTTAATGCACGATGAACATAATATATTACAAAACAAGTCACATGTATACACTACAAGTTTTAAATAAAATCTTACTGGCCAACTGATGGATTTGTCAGCAACTCGAGTGATTTCTTCAAGTAGTCTACTGCAATTGAGACGTCATCGAATGCCAGTGCCCCAACAGCAAATCTTGCAGCCTTGTGTGCCTCTGCTATTCTTTCAGGTGCTGGCTGGTAATTACTGTCATACTGGTATGTCTGAGTTGTTGACTTGGGCTCCAAGACAGATCCATTTCTGTTGCTGAGACTGTTTTGGGCATTTAATGAATGGTTTGTAGCTAGAGGAGCTGACTGGGAAGAATATGAAGCATCGGGCCCTTGATAATAAGTCTGGTTTACTGGTACCGATGGTAGGGTGCTTTCTGAAAAACTCGGATAAGATTGAAAATGGGGAAGACTGTATGCAGAGGGTGTTTCATGAGAAGGATAATTAAGACCTAAATTCTGTGACTGATCTGGTGAGTATTGCTGATGATTGTAGGGCTCAGAATAAGAACTGTCTGATCTAGCAGGTGGAGGATGATGGTAATCTTGGGAAGGTGGAGGAGGTTGATAATCTTGGGAAGGTGGAGGAGGTTGATAATCTTGGGAAGGTGGTGGAGGATGGTACTCCTGGGAAGGTGGTGGAGGATGATAATCTTGGGAAGGTGGCTGATGATGATAATCTTGGGAAGGTGGCTGATGATGATAATCCTGGGATGGTGGTGGATGATGATAATCTTGGGAAGATGGAGGTGGATGATGATAATCCTGGGAAGATGGAGGTGGATGATGATAATCCTGGGAAGACGGAGGTGGATGGAAGTCTTGAGAAGGATAAACTCCAGGTGTATAAGAGTGAGATGATGGAGAAACAATTGAAGAACGCTTATTATCATCTACTCTATCATGAAACTGCGAAGATGGTTGAATGTTTGCAGAATTCTGATCATTTACAGTATCATTGAATTTAGGTGCAGGATGAATGCTGGGAATATTCTGGTAGTTGGCAGGGTTATGATAACTACGTGTTGAATCAGATTCTGATCCAGCACTGGAAGCAGAAGTTTCGGTAGCCCCGGGATCCTACAGGAATAAAACAGCTGAAAGTTAATTGTTTATAAATATTTATTAATCTATTGATAAGCATCGATCAAATTCATAACAAACCGGGTTGAGCTTTGAATCGTACATATCTAATACTAGGAGAACTCGATGGAACAAACAGGTCCTCATCGCCAGCAGGTGGACCAGCCACAGGCTTCCTTCCTTCTTTCAAAGCCTTTCTTATATCAGCTGCTTTCCATGCTGCATACTTCTGCTTCTGCTCCAGCTGCAAAACAAACTCAAAGAAATATTAAAAATACAATTACACACATCAAGTGCAATTGATACTTGCTTAGAAAATAATGGTTCAATGCATGAAGTACACACATCAGGCTGAACTGGTCCGAATTGATTAAGAATCTCAAAAAAGATGCTAGCAGCGTAAAATGTTTTTGCCGTACTTCTGCAAAAGGTCGGAAATATATGTTAAAAAGTATCACATATAAAAGAGTAATTAATTTCCAAGAAAGTGATAATATAGAAAATTAGACATAAGAAAGGAACATTGCCATTGTATTGAAATATAAAGGTAACATATTTGCATTTAAAGAGAAACGATTTAACATACATATCTGCTCTTCCAGCACGATCTTGCTTGTCTGCTTTTCCAAACACATTCAAAGCAAATCCCTCAAGATATAAATTATCTTCAGGCCCCAGCTGGATTGACTTTTTATCCTATAAAAATCGATATTACAAAGAAAGATAATTTTATTAGCATCCTGAATATACCATTTAATATAAAAGTGACAAACATAATCAATCAGTACTGCAGTAAAATGACACGGTCACTGAAGTTAGTAGATTGTAGGATTCAAATTCCTTGAAGTCACGCATTCGCGCAGTCTCTAAGACAAGTTGTTGGATGAAAATCAGACGGCTCATATTTCAAGTTTACTATTCTAATCAGATTCACCTAGCTTAAAACGAGTCGTCCGATCTTCCTCCAAAAGTTATGATTTAGTAACAGCATGAATGTATGATTTTCCTGAGAAACCAACCCCAAAAGTGGGATAGCTGGATCACCGCTCTATTTGACCATTTTTTAGACAAATTACATATAATAATTATGGATATATTTAATGTAAAATTAAACAAATAACTCAACTCATAAAAAATTCATAAATCAAAGCACACATGACTTTTGAAGTGCGTAATCGACTCAGAAGGAAGGTTAAAGTCGAGTCTGAACTCAAATTTGATTGAAAAACTCAAAATTACCCTTAAAACATTGTGAATTTATGATAAATTAAAAATAATTAGTATAGTTAAACGAAATTATGATTAATTAAGTAAATAACCTTTTCGAGCTGTTTCATTAGTGAAACAAGAAGAGAATTAGTGGTTTTGGTGCGATCACTTTGCGGAATCTTCAATCCACGCTCCATCGCATACAATCGACCTAAAATTACCATATAAAATTGAAATTTGTGAATATTATGAGGAATTTCGATTTGAGAAAACACGAAAGTATAATTAAAATGAATAAAAAGAGATGATGTTACAGTAATAAGCAACGAGAGGTTCGTGTTTCTGCAATTCATCGGCGCGTTGAAGGTATGGCAAGAGGAGTTTCGCGGGTTCGTTTTCGTTCGCCATGGTCGATTCCGAGAGAGAGAGAAAGTGAGAAAGTGTTGCAGATGAAACGATGTCGTTTGGATGTTTATTTGCTTGTGATTTAATTCTAAATCCACATTTAATATATGGGTCGGCCTAACCTAAAGCGAGTGTTACGCCAGCACAACCTACATATTGGGTCACAAATATTAAAACAAAACTTTTATTAAATTTAGTTTTATAAATAATTGAAAAGAATAATTAAATTATAATTAATCGTCTATATCTATTAAAACCATTTAAATTAGGGTAACCACTCATTTACTCTTAAATTTAATATTTAATTGGATATTAGTATCCTCAATCAATTAAATATTATGATTCAATATCATGTTAATTTTTTATTTTATTTAATTTTAAAATAAATTAAAATTTTAATATAATTTATACTAAAGTATCCGACTAGTTATAATGAGTACCTAAGAATTTATCTTAAATTAATTTAGTTTCTAAAATAAAATAAGATAAAAAATTATTATATATATTTTATAATAAAAAGAAAGACAAAGTTGCATGATAAGTTAATATTTTTATTTCAATTTTTAATATTTATAGAATTTAAATTTAACTAATTTAATTTTTAAAATTAAATGAAAAACAAATTTAAAATTATGAAAAAAAATTATAAATAAAGAACTCAAAGCAAAAAAATATTAATAATTGTTTTTATTTAAAACAGTTTAATATTATATTATATTATATTAAATAAGAAATATTTAAATTACGAGTTTATGTTATATTTAAAAGTTTGATTAGTCTCAATAGATTAGTTAGTAGTTATGTATGGACATCATGTACAGGAACGCGAGTTTGAAACTGCCGTCTCCCACTTTATTCACCTTTAAAAGATGAATTTCAGTCTAGACCAAAAAGTGTGATTAGAAAGAGACAATAAGACAATGTTTAGATAGAAGCTTTGTCGATTCTTCTTTTTTCTTCACTGTGAAAACTTTTCACCACTACCATCGACCATGGTCCTTCTTAGGAATAAATGATCTAAAGACACGAGTTTCTCTTACAATTGTTAGCTCATAAGCTCCAAAGTACCATAAATCTTTTGACGTCATTGTAAACAATGTTTATGACATACTATTGTACCCGTTTCTTAAATTGTGTGTTAAGGAAGATAAGTTAGCCATTGCAATAATATATGAGGAAGAGTTTTAACTTGGTGTTAAAGCATGTAAGCACAATCTAGAAGGGAGAGTTATTTGGTCAAAAGGGAGCTTTACCTTTAACTGTTATTTCCTTGAGAAACAAGTTATTCTCCCTTTGGAAGTTTGTATAAAGATAGGGGTATAAACTCCATTGATAAAAGTTTCTTTAAATTCTCCTTGTCTTTGTTAAAATATGTTAGAAGAGTTAGGGATGTCGACTTCTGGAACCTAAACCCTAGTTTCTTGAAATTGTTCCCTTGGACAATAAATTTCAACTCTAATACTCTTAAACAATCATTGGTAAAAGTTTGGATAGGAATCTATGGTCTATCACAATAGTATTGATGCCTTAGAATTATTTTCATTGTAGCAAGTAGCATTGGCACCTCATTGTGCACAAACTTACAATAAAATAAATCTAGTTTTGAAAGAAACTTTGATCATTATGTTAGGGTGCTTGTAAATATGAAATTCAAAGAGGAACTTAGATACAAGATCCTTGTATAGAGGATGAGCTTAGATTTATTTGTTAACTCAGAATATGAAAATATGCCTTTTTTGCACTCATTGCAAATGTATTGATCACTTTGTTGATTATTTCATGAGAATGGTGTGTGGTGACCAAGGCCACTTGGACAAGGAGAAAACAAATGTATCTTTGCATAAACAAAAAATGTGAAAGAATAATCAAACCTTTGTGCAGGTAGAAAATAAGAAATTAGTTAAAAAGGAAAGCAATTGTTATTTTTGTTGGGTTAAATCCAATTGTGGAAAAGGTACTTGTCAAATACAAAAGTGTGTGGTACCCCTAAGTTGGTAGAGATCACCAAACGCCTTAGTATTTTATGGTGGTATAGGGCTTGCCCGCGGCGGTGAGAGGCCCTGTTTGGGGGTGTTTTTTATTATGGAGAGAGCAAGCTCGTGTGAGGTGGAGAGCTTTGTATTTATGTGTTACACTGGGTATCTTATGATTTATCTATTACCCTCGGAGGATAAGGTTTTTATATAGGCCTGTGGGCATATGGTTTCCTTGAAAATGATAATCGCCCACTTAGTCAGTGGTGGAGCATTGAATCCTTATTTTCTAGGAAGACATAGATCAGGCTATTGACACAAACTTCTCTTTGAGTGAGGAACGTATTTTCCCAAGTTTCTCTTGACTGGGTGAGTAGGGAGCACTTATAGGCGAGATTACTCAAAATAACAGACGACATATGTATGTCGTTCCTCCCAGGGAATGCAGCTCTCCCACCCTTACTAGGCCTTTTACAAATATATCATTATATAGTCCCTAAAGCAAAAGGGTGTTGGTAAAGGGAAAATTTCTTTGAACGATAGAGTGTTTGGGGCTTCCCAAGACCCCAAGTATCCCAGGAGATATTACATATTGAACTCATTAAACAAGAGTCCAAGTCCCTCGGGAGAGACTATATGATGAGCCCAGTTAGGTCTGTGATTTTATGGTTGGCAATAATTTTGGTAAAACAAGGAGTTGACAATAATTCTATCAAAACATATTTCATTGGGAAAAACATGTATTGCAGCCTAATGTTGAACAAGATGTCATAACATCTTGACCAGCTGGTACAACAGTGTATGCGGGTACTTATTTTGACAAATTTTCTATAAGATATTGTAACATGTTGCAACGGAACATCATGACAGTATGGATGGATATTTATCCTTGAAGATTTGATTGAAAAATATGAGATTCTATAGGTTTCTAGTACTCATAACAGGCGCATGCAATCAAGGATTGTTAGGAATAATTGAAGATTTGATTTATTTCATGAAAAGGATCTTTGAGACTTTTTAGGAAATATTTGAAAGATTTGTTTTTGTTTCCATTTTCGTGGAGAATATTCTCCAGGGATTTAGAGTTGAAGATTATATTTGATTGAAGAGTCCAATCCCAACTGCAAGAGCCTATATAAGAAGTCGTCGAAGACCTATTTTTTAAGCATAGTTTTTATTGTAAAACCTTGTAAAAATAAGGGTTTAGGGTTTGATAGTTCCTTAGGTTCTCCATGTGTTTTTTTGTACGTCCTCATGTATCTTTGATGAATTTTGATTTGACTAATTGTTACTTGTTTATCAAATTATTGTTCTCCTCAAAGCTTTTAAGCAATAGTTAAGTATTGTTCTTAGTGAAGTTGTTAATCAAACTAAGTATTTTTAATTGGGAAGTGTGTTCTTCCTTTTTGGGTTTCTTGAGACATTCCCTGGGACTGGGATTGTTTGATATCACTGTTATGATTGAGAGTGAAAAGGGTTCTCATATCTAGGAGGTTCCTAGGTAAAAGTTGTACTAGGTAGGGATTAAGTGAGAAGTGTAAAGAAGCTTGGGAAATTCTCAAGACAACTTATGAAGGTACCTCTAAAGTGAAGATTTCAAGACTTCAGCTTCTCACTTCTAAATTTGAGAACTTAAGGATGAATGATGATGAGACAATTCAGGAATATCAGATGAAGATTCTTGAAAGTGCTAATGCATAAAGTGTCTTGGGATAGAAGATGTCAGAAGTAAAGATGGTCAGAAAGATTATTAGGTATTTGCCTAGGAGATTTGACATGAAGGTCACAACTATTGAAGAAGCTTGAGACATAAAAAATATTAGAGTTGGTGAACTTATTGGGTCACTTCAAACATTTGAATTGGCTATTGGTGACAAGGTTGAGAAAAAGAACAAAAGCATAGGTTTTGTATCCAATGCTGAAGACAATAAAGGTCAAGTTGAGCTGAACACTGATGAGGACCTATCTAATACCATTGTGCTACTTGGGAAGAAATTTAATAGGGTTTTAAAATATTAGACAGAAGAGGGAGACCAGATGTCAAGAACATCTCATATGACATCAGTAATAATCTCGAGAAAATAAGATCATAAGATAAGTCAAGTCAAAGTAGAGGCATTTAATGTTTTAAATGTGAAGGATATGGTCATATTAGACCTGAATGTCCTAACTTCCTCAAGAAACAACATAAGGGTTTCACTATATCTTGTATTGATGATGATAAGTCATAAGATGAAGACAATTCTGAGACTACTAAGCTTGTGTTGGCTCTATCTGGCAGATAGGCAGATGAAATGGAAGCTTGTGATGAGAATGATCTGTATGAAGACCTAGACGTGTCCTACAAGGATACTTGTGACAGGTGTGAAGAAACCCTCAATAAAGAGGAGGAGCAAAGAGAGATCATTGTTGATTTGGAAAATGAAAGGAATCAACTCTTAAGTATTGTTTCTCATCTACAAACTGAGGTAACACGCTTAAATTCCAAGCTTCATAACTTGACTGATTCCATAAATATGATGAAAGAGGATGAAGATCCCAAAGTTCATTATCAATCTGATAATAAACTGAGGAGAATTTCAGAAGAGAAGGTCTTTCTTTTTGAGAAGAAGAAAAAGATCAACATGTTCAAGAACGTGTTACAACATTCTGGCAGAAATAATGAATTTTCAAATCAACCTCAATTTACTTGGAGATGTCACTATTATGGTGAGTCTGGTCATATAAAGCCTTTTTTCTTCAAATTGTATGGAGATAAAAAAATCTTCAGTTTGTTCAAAGGCTAATAAAGTGAGTGAGAAGAGAAGTGTTGGAAATAGGGATATTAATCTTATAGCTCATACTTCCTTGAGAGACTCAACTAGTGAAGGCTGGTACTTTGACAGTGGATGCTCTAAACATATGATAGGGGTTTATAAGATGTTGGTGGATGTCAAACCTTATCCCACAGGTTCTGTTAGATTTGGTGATGAGTTTAACGGAGAAACCAAAGGAGTCAGAAAGCTAATATGTGATGGTTGTCCAAGGTTA